TGAATTCCTTCAGCCTATTTATGTCATGGAAGATTTTTCTTTCCCCTTAGACTATAATAGACATTTTGGCTGGGTATAGTAATCTGGGTTGGCATCTGTGGTCATTTAAAACTGGGAATACTTTGGTCCAGGCTCTTCTAGTTTTCATTGTTTGCACTGGCATTGATAAGTCAGCTGTAATTCTGATGGGCTTTCCTTTGTATGTGACTTGTTGTTTTTCTTTTGCTGCTTTCAAAATTCTCTCTTTGTTCTGTACATTTACTGTTTTTACTATGATATGTCATGGGGAGTTTCTTTTCTGATCCTGTCTATTTGGTGTTCTGTGTGCTTCCTGTATTTGTATGGGAATGTCTTTCCTTAACTTCAGGAAATTCTCTTTTACAATCCTGTTTAAGAGATGGTCAACACCATTAACCTGAAATTCTTCTCCTTCCTCTATGATCCATCAATTTGGTCTTTTCATGGTGTCCCACATATCTTGCATATTCCATTCCTGTGTTTTAAAAACTTTTTCACAATCTTTGCTTGGTCCAGTTTGTCCACTTTATCTTCCAGTCTTGATACTCTGTTTTCCATTTCATTAATCTTATTGGTGAGGATTTCTCCTGTCATTTCTAATTGGCTTACTGAGGGTTTCACTTCTTTTTTCATTTCAGTCTGAGCAGTCTTCAATATTTCTAGCTCTTTTTTGAATTCATTCACAAGTTTATCACTATCTTCCTTCCATTCTTTGATTTCTTTGTGTGTTCTTTAAATTCACTGAATTCTTTTAACATGTTTATAATGGTTCTTTGAGTTCCATGTCCTGCATTATCTCTAGGGGGTTCTCATTGTACTCCTCTAGAGGACTATTGGTATTTGGTGGGGATATGTTATTTTGGTTTTTCATGTTATTATTTTTTCTCTGTGATTTTGACATGTGAATTTCTTCTGTAGTTTCTGATTCTTGTGTGAGACTCAAGCCTTCAAGTTTAGGTCTGCTTCTTTTTGTAGACTTTATGTGCCTTTGTGGTTTACTTTTTGGGTATGAAAAGCTGGATTCCCCTAGCTTCCTGTTCTCTCTTTTGATTTTATATTGTAGTGGCCAGCTTGCTTTTGTCTTCATGAATTCCCACAGAGGCCCAAGTCAGATGAGGATCAGATGCTCTTAGGCTTTTTCCTAAGGTCTGGCTCCAGCCAGGAAAGATTTTGTCCTTAAGAATTTGGGGGTTGGACTGGCCTGGGAGTGGGGCCCAGGAAAGATGCTGGTCTAGGGCAGCTGGTGGCCGTGCCACCCAGAGATGCAAAGAGAGATGGAGGCGGAAAGAGGCCCCAAGGGTTCTTGGGTACTGCACTGAGGAACTGGGTTGGTCTGGATGCAAAGGATCAGGAAGCCAAAAGGTCAGCCCCTGAGTCCAGGAAAGAGACTGGCAGGTTGTGCAGCCCAGGGAAGTGAAGGGAGTTGAGGGTGGGGCCAGGCCCAGAGGGCTCCTGGGGACCCCAGAAGGGACTGGGTTGGTCTGGATGTAAAGGATCAGGAAGCAATGGTGATTCCCCCAGTGTCTGGGGTGCCAAGACAAGGAATGTGACAGGACCCAGGCTAGGAGGAGAGACAGCGCAGGGGAGATGGGAGGGTGAATGAGGCTTGGGGAGTTAAGGCACCGGCAAGATTGACTTACCAGGGAGGGAGGCCTGTGGGTGGTGCAGGCCCAGGGTAGCAGAGGGTGGTGAGGGCGGGGTCAGGCCCAGAGGGCTCCTGTTGACCCAAAAGGAACTGGGTTGGTCTGGATGCAAAGGATGAGGAAGCAGTGGTGGTTCCCTGTTGTCTGGGATGCCAAGATGAGGAATGGGACGGGACCCAGGCTAGGAGGAGAGACGGGCGGGGGAGATGGGAGGGTGAATGAGGCTGGAGGAGTCAAGGCATGGAGGGTGCGATGGACTTACCCTGGAGAGAGGCCTGCTGGTCGGAGAGACCGGTTTACCGGTTTACTATATTCTTAAGGATCAGGAGGGTTTGGTGCTAACAGAGGGTCACCATCTATGACAGGGCTCAGGAAAGAGTTGGAAATTCAAAATGAGGCATCATTTTCCTCAAGCCCATTCTGTATTTACAGGGATGGGGCAAGGGTTCAAATGGAGATCCATTTCTTGCCTTTTTCTTCCCTTCTTAACATCAGCTCCACCGCGTACATGGGAGACCTCATGTCCCTGACTATGTTTAAACTCTGTCCTGCCTGCTTTTGGAAGAATCTTTCAGTTTCAGGGAATTTCATGTTCCTGCCAGGAGAGAGAGAGAGGCCTAGTGTACATGGACCTCAGAGGCCCCAGGCTGCACTACTGGTTGATCAGGCTCTTCCTTACATCTGTTTGTTTGTTTGGTTGGTTGGTTGTTTTATGTTGTTGTTGTTGTTTGGTTTCTTTCTTTGTTTGTTGGTTGGTTGGTCTTTTTGAGTCAGAGTCTCCCTGTAGCTGCAGCTGTCCTGGAACTGGCTATGTAGACCAGGCTGGCCTTGAACTCTCAGAGCTCTGCCTGCTGGGATTAAAGGCATGTACCACCATGACCAGCTTGTTTGTTTGTTTTTGAGTTTGGGGTTTGGGTTTTTTATTTGTTGTTTTTGCTTTTTTGATATTTTATTATTTTTATTTTATGTATATGTCAGTATACTGCCTGTATGTATGTAAGTGCACCTGTATCATGCAGTGCCTGCAGAGGTGAGAAGAAGGCATTGGATTCCCCTAGAACTGAAGTTACAGGTGGTTGTTAGCTGTCATTTGGGTGCTGGGAATAGAACTCGGGTCCCCTGCAAGAGCATCCAGTGCTCTTAACCACTGAGCCATCTCTCCAGCCCCAAGGGGATTTGAGTTTTTTAAGACAAGGTCTAATGTAGCCAGGCTGTCCTTAAACTCCTGTGCAGGCAAGAACACCCTTGAATTCCTGATCTTCCTGCTGTCATTCCCAAGTACAGGATTATAGGCATGTGCCGCTGTACCTGGTTTATTGTACCCATCTTTAAACATTGCACCAGTTGCCTGAAATAAGTTATGGTAAGAATATTCACACCATGGAAATTGACATACACTACAAATCACATTTTTTTTTCCCCTCTGAAGAGCCAGTTTGTCAGGACGACCCTGCCCATTGATGTCTCACTCTGTACACAAGCCATAGCCAGAGAAAGGCCAGGCCAGACCCACTAATGCAGGCCTCTCACATTAAAATCACTGGGGAGCTCTGGTGGCTTGGAATGGGTTTTTCAATTTTTATTATCATCATTACTGTGTGTTTGGGTGATGTATGTTTGTGAGCATGGGTGCTCTCATCATGCCATGGCACTTGTGTGGAGGTCAGAGGACAACCTTTGGGAGCTGGTTCTTTCCTTTCTGGGGATTGAACTCAATTATTAGGCTTGAATAGCAAATGCCTTTACCCGCTGAGCCATCTCCCTGGCCCAAAATAGGTATTTCAGAAAGCTTCCCACATGACCCCAGTGCACAGGCCAAGTTATATACCAATGCTCTAAAATGTCTCTTATTAAAATTGAGTGTACACAGGCTGAGGATGTAGCTCAGTGAGTGAGCCTTAAGTAGCCTGCGTGCAGTCCTGGGTTTGATCCCCAGCACTGCCAAAAAATTTTCTTTTAGTGTATATATCTATAAATTGCTTGATGACAGATTATAGTTTAGTAAATCTGGATGGGATCTGGGACTGTGGATTCTTTTTTTATTAATTACATTTCATTTGTGTGTAGGTGTGTGTGCATGCATGCGTGTGTGTGCCACAGCACATAAGTGGAGGTCTGAAGACAATCTGTGGGAGTTGGTTCTCTCCTTCCACCATGTGGGTCCCAGGGATTGAATTCAGGTTGTCAGGCTTGATGGAAAGCACCTTTACCTGCTGAGTCATCTTATCAGCTGAGATTCTCTTTTCTTTTCTCCTCCTCCTCCTCTGCCTCCTCCCCCCCTCCTCCTTCACCTCCTCCCCTCCTTTCTCCTTTTCCTTCCTCTTAAATGTGTGTGTGTGGTGCTAAGGATTGACTCTTCCTTTCAAGGCCTTGTGCATACTATGCAAGCACTCTACCCAGCCACATCCCACATGGGACTGTGGATTCCTAACAGTCTTCATTACTACTGAGGCTGCTAGTCTACAGACCACAGTCTGAGTAGTCCTGTCCAAAATATAAGTCCCAAAGGGGTCTGAGGACCCTCAACTTTGTCAGTCATTAGGATTTCTAATTGGAATTATTTTTATTTTTAAGCTCTGGCCTGTCATCTTTTTTGGAGTCTATTCCGACTCTTTTTAGCCTACTGTGGGTCATGTGACTTCAGCCTCCCTTGAAGCATGGTCAAAATTCCCCAACTGCCATCTTACTCCACAGACAACTCAGTGCTCTTTCTGTGATAGGCTAGAGAGAAGAGAGAAGGAAGCTCTCTTGCGTGACCAAGCAGGTATTCCTTAAACATGCCATTTTCCTTCTGTTTCCCCTGCCCACCCAACTTACATCCCTAGAATTCAGGTCTAAGTGCAGTAACTTAATTTTTGTACTGGTCCAGTGATGAGAGCCCTAATGTGTGAGACCCCTGCCCCAAGTGCCAGTGTGGAATGAGAATGAGGCAGGACAGACAGAAGAGGAGCTAAACCAGCACCTAATCTTTCCTTCACAGAACCTGAGACTCCCAGACCTTGGGCCGAGGAACACAGGACTCATCTCAGAACTAAAAGAACATTGAATCAGAGTTGTATGAGAGCATACACAGACCAATGAAGCCCATTCAGCTCTTCCTCAATGGCTTCCATTGCTTAAAGTCTTGAGCTAAGAAGCTTCTGCTTGTGTAGAGAAGACCTTGGACAGAGGCAGCCTGGCTGAGGCATCTCAAATCGAAGGTGCTTACTAAGGCTAGCAGCACATCACCTAGCTCTGTCATGTGAGGGTAGCCCTGTCTCAGCAAGTCCATGTCCCAGTGCTAGTCCCTTCACTGCATCATTCAAGACTGTCCTGCTCCAGAAGAGACTTCAGGGATGTAGCACTCAGTGATGGACAACTAGATCTAACCCAAATTGTGTGGGCAGCTGACAGTCACCCAAAACCTCAAGGATCTGTTTGGCTATGTGTGTTTGCCAAGCTTTTCTCAAAGAGGGTAAGTCTTGGCTGAGGACTGTTGGAACATTTGGTAAGTAGGGAGTTTTCTGCCCAGTGCATGACTCTGCATGTTACCTCAGGTCAAGGCTGCAGCCACTGACTCAGGCTTCACTGTGCAAAGGCCTTGCATTCTTGGGACACTGTGTAACTGGAGTCTGCCATGGTCCCTGGAGTCACTCTAAGTGACTGCAGGCCCCACCTCATTTCCTGTAAGATTTTTGAAGTCCCTCACAGCCACTTCCCATTCTGAATTCCTGATCAAACAGAATCTGGGTGTAGCTTATGCCTCCACGTTTAGAGTGCTGCTCTGAACCCTTCATTCTTCCTATTTGCTGAAAGCTCATGATCACAATTCTGGCCCACCAATCAGTTTAGCTGAAGGTTTTGAGGGGCAAGAGAGGGGAATTTCAGTCCATGGCAGACCAAGCAAATGATTTACAGTGGACTGTGAGTGTTGGAAGCCACAGAGCCATCTTTGGCTAGAAAAATATCTCACTGGTCAGCTTTCACCTCTGGGTGCTGGCCCTCTCTCCCGAGACTTCTTTGCCTCCTTTCAGGGCCTCAGACCTGCATCTCAACACCATGCAAGGAAGACATGCAGCTTGATCAGCTTGTGTCATCTAATCCCTTCTGTTGGTGGCCATTCTGACCATTACTGGTGATCTCATTTTTCACAGTCAACTCTGTCCTGTTAAGGTACAGTAACTCCACAAGCAGCCCTCTACCACAGAGGCCCAACACTATTTCCCACAACCCAACAGGAGTCATCATCATAGAGATTTTTTTTCTTTTTGCTGCATCAGAGAATAGAAAAAAAAAAAATCAGGGAAGTCTGGTGTTAGATATAAAATTACCATGTGGTCTAACAGCTCCTCTGGTATTAGATATAAAATCGCTATGTGATCTAACAGCTCCATTTCTGGGTTTAGCCCCAAAGAATTTATTTACTTTTTTTTGTGGTCTTTTTGAGACACGGTCTCCCCAGCTAGCCTGAGCCCACAGAGATCTGCCTGCCTGTGCCTCCCGAGTGCTGGGATTAAAGGTATGCACCACCACGCCCGGCTATTATTTTTATTTGTATGAATGTTTTGCTTGCATGCCATGTAAGTGCAGCTATGTGTAATGCCCTTGGAGGCCAGAAGAGGGCGTTATTGGAATTGCTGTTACAGACAGTTGTTAGCCATCATGTGGGTGCTGGCAACCAAACCCAAGTCCTCTGCAAGAGCAGCCAGTGCTCTTAACCTCTGAGCCATCTTTCCAGCCCCTAACCCCAAAGAATTGAAAACAGACTTGAACAATTATTTGTATACCTGTGTTCAAAGCAGTTATTATTCACAATAGCCCAAAGGTGCAAACCATTGAAATGTCTGTCAGCTGATGAATGGATAAACAAAATAAGATGTATGCTTATAATGGATTATAACTGAACCTTAAAAAGGAGTAACAGTATGCTGCTGGGATGGCAAGATGGCTCAGTGGGTAAAAAAAGACCTGAGTTTGAACATTGGATCCCACAGTGGAAGGACAGAACTAACTCCTGAAAGTTGTCTTCTGATGTCTACACACACATTGTAGCATGGGTACACTCACACTCAGTCACACACACACACACACACACACACACACACACGCACAGCACCACCACCACCACCACCACCAACAACAGCAACAATAAAATAAAGACTGAAACTGATGCTAAGTAAAATAAACCAGACATAAAAGGGCAAGTATTGTGAGTCTAGTCTCTGAGGGACCTGGAGTAGTCGATTTCACAGAAAAAGAAGGGGGAGTGGTTGCCAGCGGTTGAAGAGAAGGAGGATGGGAATTTACTGTTGATGGATACACCATTTCAGATTGAGATGGTGGGAGAACGCTAGAGATGGATGATGCTGATGACTGCACAGCAGTCTAAATGTACTTCGTGCCACTGCACTGTATGCTTGGAAATGGATAAAACAGTAAGGCTTATGTTATATGTACTTTCATCACAGCCTAATCCCCTCCCCCAACACACACTAGGAGTTTGAGCTCTTACCCTCAGGCAAGGTGCCTCCCCACATCCATCTCTAGAGAGACTTAGAAGGGGGCAGGTGAGGGTAGAGGGCAGGGGAGGGCCAGCACAGTGGTCCTGATTGTGGCACAGCTGTGCCCGGGACACGTGAGGGGCTGTTTATCAGTCTGCTTCTCCTTAGGATGCAGTATCAACCTTTGCCTCACAGGTAAACCCCCCTCAAAGATTCCAAATGTTTTGCTGTTTTCACCTGTCTTTTGATGGAGTGGGAGCCAGCTCTCTCCCTGGGATTAATATTCAAAACAAGCAGGGAGCGATTAATTTCAGCTGTTGAAATTTATTGTGCACTTGCCTTAAGTCAAAGCCAGGTTCTGCTGGTGTTTATTTTTCACCATTGATGCATTACACACAGCAGCCCCAGAGCATGCGAATTTAGAGCTCACCCTGCCCTGCTGCCCCCTTCCCCTGGCCTGACCCCTGAGATCCACACAACTCAGAGAAGGGAGTTCTTGATGGGTGGCTAATAGAAACAGGAGAAAGGAAGATTTGGTGTACGTTGCTGGTGACTCATTTCAGGGGTTCAGTCAATAAATTCTGACTAACTTCCGAGCATAGCCCACCCCCACTCTCCTGCTGTCACAGAAACCTCCAGAGTCTGAGTCTGCCTTTCAGAATGAGCAGGAAACTCTCTGTGGGGTGTATCCTCTTCAGGACTGCACAGGTGCCAGGGGGCATTGTGTGGCTCCTCCTGCCTCACCCCACTTCGCCTCACCCTCCTCCCCACCCCACTTTGCCTCGCCCTCCTCCCGGTGCCGCCAATGACCGCCTGGAGAGGACTCTTAACTGCTGGCGCCTAACAAGGCAGAACAAAGGCCCGTGTGCTCACAGAGTTCCGTTTGGAGTGTATGACAATTTCAGAGCACAAATGGGGGGAAAAAAAAAGGAAAGAAAGAAGGCTTGAAATCTATAGCTGGCTTTTATCAAACCAGAACTTGTAGCTCTCGGCTGACAATCAGCCAGCAGCTAAAACCCACGAGGGACGGTTCTCACTCGCAGCTTCTGGCTGGCTATTAGCTACCAGCAGCCTTCTGACCCTTTTTCCAAGGAAGGAACAGCTGGCAGCTGACAAGGGGGCTGGCAGAGTGGGCAGCTTTTGCTTCTCTGGGAATGGATATAAGATTGGCAGGAAAGAAGGCATTTAAAATATGCCCATTACAAGCGTTTTCAATTGCCTTTCTTTATTATGCATTTGGATTCTGGCTCTGATTGCTAAAATGTATTATGTGCTAAGGAGCTTTGATGGCTCCCTCCCCCCCTTTATTTGAAACGTGGATGTCCCAGCTTTTTCCCTGTGACTAATGCCAGCCTGGATAACGGTGTATTCTCTGTTTCTTACCCAGCGCTTTCATGCAATTATCAGTAACAAAGATGATGAACGAATGACTGTAGGATTATATAAGCCCAAGTGTGGTGCTGGTCACTAACTGAAACACAGCTTCAGCTCACTTGGGCCTGTTGGGCAGGGCCTTGTTGGGGTCACAGCACTGGGGAGAAATGGAAATTGGGGTTAAGTGAAGCCAAACTGTCAGAAGAAGGGTAAAGATCGACTTAGCCTCATTTCTTTCCTGCATGTACTGCCCAGCTCTCTGATTTGGAGTCAGGTGGGCAAAGGAGGGAGTCAGCAGCAGAAACCCGAGAGGTGACTCCCCTCTGGGGAGGTGGAAGGCCTTTCGTGACAACCACATGGTTAGCCCTGGATTCCAGCTGCTTTGGTCTGTCTCCCTTGGCAGGACCTCACACTTTACCCATTACAGTATCCGCAGTATCACAAATGGCTTATTTGAAAGTTGGCAATTGAATATGGCAATTGAAGCGTTCAAAGTAATATTTGTCCAAAGCGACCTATGGATGAGAGCAAGGAGTCTGGGTTCTGACCCCCAAGTGGCCAGTGGGACAGAGAAATATCCTACAGATTAAAAGACTAGCTGGGCGTGGTGGCACGCCTTTAATCCCAGCACTCGGGAGGCAGAGGCAGGTGGATCTCTGTGAGTTCAAGGCCAGCCTGGTCTACATAGTGAGTTCCAGGACAGCTGGGGCTATAGGGAGACCCTGTCTCAAAAAGACAGAAGAAAAAAAAAAAAAAAAAAAAAAAAAAAAAAAAAAAACACTGAACAAGGTGGAAGTGCTGTTCTGGCCCAGGTTCATGAAGACGAGCAGTGCTTATCTTCAGAATGCTGGGTTCTATTTCCTATGTTCTCACCTAAGGAGCAAAACGCTGAGAGAGAGGCTTACCGGACACACACATGTCTATGCACCACTTCCCAAGGACCGGCCAGTGATAGTGCAGGCGCTATGTAGGCGAACCCCACAGCGTGAAGAGAACCAGGGAACAGGAATCAGTGGCTGAGGGGGAAGGAAGATGAGCCCTTCCTTATACACTGTTCTTAATCATGCAGACATATTACTCTGATAACCAGATTTCAAGTCAGAGGAACATTTGTTGTGATCTTGTGCTTACTCCAGCTCTCCATGAGGGACACATATAGCCCTCCTGAAGAGAGAAGCTGCCTTCCTGTGCTCAAAAGCCTCTGAGAAAGCCACACTAGTCTCCCATTAACTGACGGCCCATGTCTGGATTTGCTGCTTCTTTATGGCCTGACATGGATGGTGCCCTGTGTGGAGGAGCATTGTGTACCTGGAGACCAGCCCAACCCCTTCAGTGAGAGGAAGTATCTTACATACCAGCATGCTTTGATGTGTGATTAAGAAGTTGACAACAAAGGGGAATGTGCTGAGCTGATCAAGGCACAATAGCTGCTGCTTCACCAGAGAAACTATACTTTCATTCTGTTGCTGGTACTGTTAGGCTGACCCTGGGGAACCAAAGACATTCTGCAGTGAAATAAAGAATAACACTCAACAGCCCTAGTTAGCCCGTGGCAAAATGTGAAATAGGCAAAGTTTGCTATTAGGATTTTCCCGTTCTCTCTTGCTGTCCTTTTCATCTTACTGTTCCCCACTAAGTCCCAAGGTATTTACTATTCTCCAAGTGCCAGGAAAACAAAATAAAATACTTTATTCTAAAGTGTCATTGATTCCCTGTGAATTCCACCCCAAGGACATTTGCATTCATTGTCAGTCTGGATTCAATCAAGAAGGACAAACTACACTGTAATTTGAATAGGGAACATATAATGCAAAGAATGATTCACTATAACAGGGGATTAAGGCAACAAAGAATTGGCTAATAAGTAAAGAGAATAAGGATACACGAATGGCAGATGGAAGGAGCAACTCTTGGGGCTGAGATGGATGCTTGAGGGTCGAGCTCCAGACCTCGTAAAGAAGGCACAACCATGGCACATGAGGGCAGAGAAGACCGCAGCACCACAGTGGAGAAACACACTAGAACTCTGGCCTCTAGGGTGTCAGGAAAAACTAGCTCACCACAGGTACTCTGCTACACAACAACCTGGGGTAGACATGCCAGGGAACCACTGGCCTTGAGTGCTGCAGGCTACCACCTATTCTAGGAGCTGGTGCTGGAGATGCATCCTGGAGCTGTTGAGCTATAGATGTGTACCAAACAAGTGCAAGGGTATTACAGGAAACTGAGGTGTGGGATCTGCCATGCATAGAGACGGCACTGATGTGGAGGAATCAGGAAAGTTTATTCATGCTGGCAGACTTGAGTGGAGTTTCCTCCCAAAGAGCTTGAGCCTGCAGTTTAGTTCTTCAGCTTGTATAGTTCCCCCCAGGTTATTCTTTAACTGTTACAGCATTGGTGGGTTTAAGTTACAGCCTATGTGATTACCAGCACAGATGCTTACATGCCCTAAGACCACCGAGGGGAAATTCCTTCTGCAGGCATGTTCGCAGAGGTGGTTACTTAGGGAAGGCATTAAGATATTCTTTAACAGAGTTTATTGCATGGGCCTCAGCAAGCAAGGTGGTTGCAAACAGATGTTCCATTAG